GTGCTATTAAAGAACTCCCCGACTTCGGCGATACCAAACCGCTCACGGAACCGCTCCCAAATATCCGGCCGCAGACCGTTACCGTACATACAGCGGACCTTGTGATTCCGATCTTGAGGCGATGGAGGCGGCGCGAGCAAATACCGAGCAGTCTCTCCGACGTACACAAAAACAGTCGCCTCCGAGTCACGGACATCTGCCCAGAATCTACTGACGCTAAACTTGGGCGCAATCGCGATGCTCATACCCATTATCAGACACGAAATTATGGAAATAGCCGCGGTGCCGTGGTACAAGGGCATACAGCTGTACCAGCGATCACCGGCTGGGCCGGGCGTGTCCCCCATCAGGGCGCGGCGGATGAAGCAAGTGGTATAGAGTCTGGACATTGTAAATGCACAGCCCTTGGGCATACCCGTGGTGCCAGAAGTGTATAGGAGAATCGCCGGGAAGTCACCAGCCATATGCTTGCTGAGCTCCTTGGGCGGGAGGGTTGTTGGGAAAGTGCCGATATGCGCCTTCAGGGAACTATCCAGGATCATCGACTTCATCCCCAAGTTGTCTGTAATAGCGTCGTGGCTTTCTTCGACGCGGGCGCGACAGTCAGCATCTTCGTCGACGAGTAGAATGTTTGCATCACTGATCTTCAGACAGTGTAGCAACGCGGCGCCGGTGAGGTTGTAATTTATGGCTGCGGGTGCACAGCCAATACTCCAAAGGGCCACCCACGCGACGATGTACTCGTTACTGTTCTGGAGGTAAAGGGCAACGAGGTCGCCTTTCTTTACTCCCTGTGATAAGTAGAAATGGGCATATTGGCAGACTTGGTCTTGGAGTTCTCGGTAGGTGTATGATCTCTCTCGAGTCCAGAGACAGACCATGTCGGGATATTTCTTCACGGTCTGCAGTAGGACGAACCATGGATTCCCTTGGTTCTGTCTAACTGGGGATTGGTTAATATGTGAGTTGCAATCGCAGGGAATATATTATAATCATACTGGCATTGGCATATTGTTGTTCTGCCTGTTTCACCGTAACCAAACTTGATATATCCTTCTGTATATGAAACTTGGCATTCAAATATCCTGCGACTGTAGCTCCTCCAACGAGAGCAGCGGCGGCGGTTCCTATCATTTGTCAATAAGATCAATTGTGATCATCGTTTCACCACGCACCTATATCCATCTTCCCCAATTTGACCTTGTTTTTCGTATACAAGTAGCCGAGGGACTTATCACTTTAACAATATAAGTATACAAATGAGGGGATTTAGTGATTACCGCTGACCTCGGCACAAATCGATCTCCGCATTTTTAGCCTTTCACCACTCAGGGGGCTGTTAGACCTTTTAGCCAATATCAATTCCAATTTGGTTAGTCAATTCGGCTGGGATTCCCCATACATGAAATGCGGGGGGAGCCTAATAATGATCCTGGCCTCGGTCGGATATATCCATATTCATAAAATCGGCTGTTACCTATTTGATTTCACGCCATAGGAACTTTACAGCTAATTGCCCGCACTAGCTAAAAGGGCGATATATGCAACTTCATCCTAAAATAAGACAACAGAAAAACACTCATCCACTTGGCGCTTTGGCTGTACAATCGAGTGCAACCAAATTTCGGGCCCCGGTGACATGGGCGCAGCAGCTGCTTGGAAAGACAGAGAAAATTGGTATGTTCTTCGGCGTGTCACCTCTAAACAGCAATTCATTAGTACGCCTACAAATCCAGAGGAGGTCCGTTTGATTCATAAAGTAGGCACTCTGTCGGCGGTATGAGCTATTAGAAATAATGCCGTCTGCAAAGTCCACTACCAATTCTAGGAATCCCTGATACAGATTGGAGAAAGCGACTCAGAGTGAAGCTTGAAGATCGTGGCTTCCCGCGATTTGCAGAATGGTTTATGGATTGGAGGATAACAAAGTCTAAACCAAGCAGATGAAAGTTAGTGTCGTTGCTCTTTATCTCTAGTACTGCCAACCTATGATTGGCAGCATTATTGTCCATGAACTTTAGAAAAAGACTAGAACAATGGTGAATGTGTAAGGAATGAGGTAGTCTTCTGTGCTCTTTTCCCTTTTTTTTAGCCTTACCATGCCTCGAATGAATTACTGAATGAATGACTGTTTGGTAGAAGTGAGGGACCTCAGCTTCTTTAAATTGACCCTCTACGACCATATGAGTCTGTATCTTTGGTTGCAGCAATGCTGTCTTTGTGGACAATCAATAGTCGTCAAAATAAACAATGCTACCCTCCGCAAGTTGAATAATGGATGTGTACCAGGCAGGCTTTGCCACAGAGCTGCATAAACAACCAGCGTTGACCAATGATGAATATACACTTGTAGCACGGCTCGACGGTAAAAGGCTGATAGCCAGGGTAGCCAGCGCGGGGGAGTGTGGCTACTGGAGGCTGACAAGAGAGTTAGGAGGAACACGACGCAGATCGTCATCTTCTCCTTTCTTGGCGGTAAGGTCCAATACCGTATAACACTTCGCACTTACAGCCCCCACATCCAACTTCCATTTTTCATCCACTGAACCTCCCACTTTGCAATCATCATGGCGAGAACATCGCAGATTGCGCGGGATTCAACCGAGGAACCCATCCGATGGATCCAACGGACCTATGTCGACCATCAAGGCAATCCGGTCATTCTGGGAAAGGTGGCTAGCTACGGAAGGCAGTTCTATCAACCAGAGCCAAATGAACTGGAGGAGTACCGACTCCAAGTATACAGCACGGCTCCCATCCTGCCAGAAGAGTTCAACAATTTATACGAATATTTTTACTCGGAATTCGACCAGTTTCCCTTTCTGGAAATCTACTCATACAACCCACCGGATGGTCTGGCTTGCGTGGAGCATCAGCGTCACGAAGTTGCTTATCGGAAGCGTCTTCATGCTGGACAGCGGGAAGATCTTCCACCTTTGATCCCCACGATGAAAATTGGATTTAAGGACGAGTTCATGTCAGGATTCTGTTTCCTTCTCACGTCTAAAAGCTATCTCCAAGGTGCATACCGTGATAATGACCACGGTACTGGTCCCTACTGGATTACCTTCGATCGGAGTCTTCCAGCTGCGACGACGAAGCTGCCTATAATAAAACGTCTTGGTAGGCCAGCGACTGAGCTTCAAACTTTTACGGAGTGGGGTATCTCAGTTGATCCCGAAATTCGCGATATCAATGTAGATATTACGACAGATCAGAACGGCTTCGGCTTCGATATAAAAGACCTTATGATAGGACGCTGTTCGACATATGTTTATGGCCAATTTGATTATGGGCTCTATGAACCGCCCCCACCCGCACCGTCCAAGACTCCCACTATACAATACATCCAAGAGGCTTTAGAGCAGCAGCAAACGGCAGAAATGAAATCCCTTAATGTGAATGTACTTCGACTTACACGGGGATCCGAAAATAGTACTGTCACTATTACGAACAACCCTAAAGATGGGGAATGTGAGCTTCAGTACGTGATCTACGTCCAGTTCCTCGCGGATATTGAGATCGAGCAGGAAAGGACCACTCTCCTAGAAACCACCGCACGCACATTCACTGCAGCCATCATCTCCCACCTCCCCGTCCCCAAAACAATCTACTTCGAGTTCAGGATCCCCAGCTCCTCCTCCTTATCTTCCCTCATATCTGCGTCACCCAACGGATTTAATATCGGTGCCTCCCATGAATTCGAGGCGGGCTCAGGAACGTTTATACGGGCATTGCCTCAGGGTTCGCGTGACTATTCCTTCCGCCCGTTCGCCCATCACTACTTTACAGTGGTTCTTGATAAGCCCACCTTCATCCGGGAGCCCGGTGTGCTATTCTTCACTCTCTGGGCTGACCCCGCGCTAGAAGTTGAGATTGACCCCGACACTACTACGGAACCCATCATTGAGACTCGTCGGAGTGCTGGTATCCATGAAGCTACGAGAAGACTTGGAATGCTTTCGGTGGAAGAGAATATCCAGGATAGTGCAAGGAAGCTCACGCGAGAGGAGCATAGGGAATTATTGTCTTTGTCACCGGAGGAGTACGAACGGAAGATGACCTTTTAGTGTTTCTTGACCAACTAATCAAGTGAGAGATTATGGCATCAGAGGTAGTCACCCCTATGAAAGAGGCGATAGGTAAAAATCTCCCTCATATACCAATTATCCTACACGACTATCACTTCACTCTCGGTCAATGCAGTAAGTCTAAATTAATATAAAACATCAACCTAAAATATCCTACTAGCTTTATCTTGATGGTGTCTTCATAACCGAAATCGCAGGCATATACAGATTGCTGATCTTACTCTGGAATGAACTCAGAGCCGAAAACATAGGTCTTGCCCGCCACACGAGCATTGGCGTGGATCCCAGCTGCTGCCTAAATTGCCTCGGCAGCTCAACCTTGCCCGTTATCCTAATCATTGGCCAAACAACCAACTTCAAGTTGATAGCGATCCCACAGGGAAATCCGGCAGCCGCTTTGCTCTTTCCTCACTCTTCCATTCTATTCCAGTAGGTCTCCACGTTCAACCGCCCGAGCGAAAGTACCTATTGAGCTACCTGATCAACTAATGTTAACCTGCTCACTCCGACATCAAGTCCACTTCGTTCTGAAATGAACGCAAGTTTCAAATATTCCTAAGTCCTGTAGAACGGGGTTAAATCACTATCTCCGCCGTAAACCCGCTTTCCGAGAGACTTCCGGCTTCCGGGCACTCTAGCCCTAAGTAGGTGATGAGCTACTAAAATGGGAGCTATCCTGTGGGGGATTTCTTCCACTTAAATACCGAGAAATCAATGGTGATAGCTCGAACACCTAGCTTTGACTAAAGCATGGCTTGGGAATTTTGTATTTCATGGAACAGCTAACTACACTTCGCAATTCAGATACAGCACAATTTCGCGGAAAATTAACATTCAATTTGGACTTCATTTGTTTTCTCCGTGTGCCTGACAATTTATGTGACACGTTAATGGACCAAAACAGGTCTATTAACTAGAGTACACCTTTCTCCCCTTCCCATCGAGTACCTCCGCAAAGAAGTCTCGAAAAGACAAGGGTGTGAACTCTGGATAGAGGCTTCTGGCATTGAGATAACCCAGATAGTCTGCATAAGCAGGCCTGTTGTCCTTGCGTACATACTTGCTAAGCTTGTATTCGGAGAGATAAAGGAACATACGTTTCATCGGATCCTGAGGATCCTGAGAGAAAGCAGCTTTAGCCTGTACAACGCTATCTTCGATTTGTTCAGTTGACATCTGGGAGTTCAGTTAATAAAACATGTTTGACCAATAATAATATGCTTGGAGGGTGTCAGCATAGCCAACTTACCGGGGTCGATTCGAGTTTCTCTCCGGAGAGCTCCTCGGCAATACGATAAATTTCTTTCTCGGTCAGAATGTCCCCAAATGTGTAGACATATTTGTTCAAAGTTCGATCATCGCTTATTATTCGCGCGACAAATCGGCCAATATCACGTAGGTCGGTAAGAAGATTTGGGGCTGTGCCATCGCCATGGATAGTATTGTTCGGTATCACCGATGCATAGTCCACTTTTCCGGAAGGAACGATGGGAAATGAGATTTGATACCAATACCCGACATCAATAATAGTATAAGGAATGCCAAGTAACTTGATGTCGTTGTAAACTTCTTCTTTCTATTCGACTGATTAGTCAAGCCCGAGTCGCGCCTGTTAGTTTCCGCTTTTCGTACCTCGTCACGAACCAACATAGCGCCGTTTGGGGGTGCGACTGTGATAAAAGCGCATGGAACTACTCGCTTGATACCTGCCAGTTTTGCAGCTTTGAATAGCTTTTTTTGCTGCAGTACGTCCTGAGGTCCAATGGCGCTGATAAGAACATCAACACCAGACAATGCAGATATGAGATCGGTTGATTCATTGAGATCTATGCACCATGTCTTGATGCCTTGCTCTTGAATCTTCTGAACCGATGGTTTATTTGCAGAAGTTGGTCGCACCAAGACTTCAATATTCTGCAAAAGAAAGAGACAGAGGATCAGTGGCACGAACGTGTGCTAGACGGTCATTGGAACTCACGAAGTTACCAGATTCCTGCAGACCCTTCAATATAGAAGTGCCAGTCTCACCAGTAGCTCCAAGGAGGAGTACTTTCTGTTTGACAGCCATTTCACAGTTTCGTGGACTCTGAGAGTTGGAGGGTGAGGACAGCCTCTCAAAGAGATGATCCTTTTGATATAAACCCGAAGCTTAAATCCGAGCTTAACCCGGGGGTTTAACCCCGTGTTATACATCCGAATACCGAATACCGAATACCTGGCTCTCTTTTCCACCTACAATGTAACGCGGCTATCCCGCTATGATTGATTCTTACAAGAGCGATCACATTCCTATCTCCGATACACAGGATACTTCCGAAGCCCATCTGCTATATCTTCCAACTGCAGCCCTTCTCGGGTCCATCCCATTCGACGATGACCCCAGCTCCGCGAGCCAACTTCGGCCTAGTACTATACCTATACTTCAGGAATCCGGATGGCAGTCGGAGAAAGCCTACGACGAGGATCCTCCAAACTACATCCACTATTTCATAGAATGGCGACTCATCCTCAACAAAACCGCTGAATGTCTTGGCGCTTATTCTTAAGATATAATTTATCATTTTCGCTTTAGCCGAATATAGATTAGGGTGGTTTCGGATACGGGCCGAGAAACAATGCGTTAGTGTCCCCAGGGGAATCCGTCTTCGAAATCTACTGTAAGAGGTCATCAACCAATTATAAAACGTCCTAGACGACGATCTCGAGGAGAAACCTATTGAACTTGGCGCTGTTGGATTAATTAGACTAATATTATCACCTCTTGGAGAAGCCTTGAGGAAGGTACATGACCTGAAGTCTGGAAACCACCGAACAACGTTTGATTGGAACTAGACATGAGCGTTCTAATGGTGAAGTCCTGAGCGCACGCTTTTTGACTCAAAGGTTATACACCAAAAACCCAACTAAATCCAATACCTAGGAAATTTAAAAGAAATCTAAAGTACATCTAAAGAACATCTAAAAAGATATAATAAGACCGCATAAGCGGCCGACTATTCTTGTATATTATAGTAACAAAATACTAAAAGTAGCCTACTAAAACCGCGATTATATATAGTTAAACTGAATTTTCGCACCCCATGTGTGTATGTGCCTGCCAACATTGAACCCCTATTGTCTCTCCTCTCCCTCTCCTTCACCCCTTTAGCTCATCTATTTTCTTTTATCTCTCCTCTCTCCATCCCCATCTCATAATCGCATTTCGTTACATTTATGGTGGTCTCATCGCCTCACATCTGTCTCCGTCCTTGAATTGTCGTCTAATAACCGCGTCTCATTTGATGGAGAGGCTTTGCTACGCAAAGAGGGCGAGCTAACACTATCTCCGCCCAAGGGCCGCAACGCCTTACGTATCGCGATGTTATCGCATAGAAAGGCTGTAATCCGCGGGGAGAACGAACTGTCACCGTCTAAGAACCGCGTAGTGATGTCCTTAGTTCGTCGAACAAAGATATTAAGCCCACGACGTAGTAGTAGCGCGGCCTTCCTAGCTACGCCGCGGGTAGGTGTGGCTGAGAAAGATCGTGCTTTCGGTCGATCATATGATCCATGAAACTAGGAATCATTCGATAATACGGACGTAAGAAGTGCCTTATCAATACTAACCAGTGGGCCGAACGGTTCTCTAGGTCTTTTCCAATATTGTAGCTAGCGGTTAGTACCCTAGAGTGCCTCGGGGCAGCGCGGCCTCGCTATCTACAGTGACCGAAACACGCCAATCTCTTAGTCTATAGGAGGGTAGAGGCGGAAGCTCGCCCGCACTATTTTATCTCTAAGGCAACTAGAGATAGGCCGAAGTAAGGCGAATATAAATCTATCTAAGCTATCTAACCTTCTCGGCATCTCGACCAACGGAAAACGCAATCAACCACTCTAGACCGGCTTATAGGGTAAAGCCCCGCTAGAACTTAGTGCCGAAGTATCGCTCTTGTCGTTAGGCCAGGGGACCAGCGATAAGGGAGGAAGGGATGTATGATATATTGACATTCCGAAGCGCCATTGCATATCATCTTTGTACCTATTTATTTTGAACAAATGTGAAAAAGCTCCCGAGAAAGATACTAATTTTTGAATGAATCCAATAACCTGAATACCTTATTTACGTATGAATGAAAAGGTTCGACTTGCTGGGTCTATTGTATACTCGACACCTCGTGGCTTGTAGACACGTAGGGTTTCTATCTCTCTATCACGCTACTTATGTTTCCAAGCTACATTTATGTCGGACTTTAATTGGATTCTTTTTCCGTTTTAGGGCTCACCCCTTGCTGCTTTTTGATCAAGTGCAAATGAGTGTTGTCTACCAAATGATTGTTTGTCTCCCAAGCTGGAACCAACAGTGGACCAAAGGCAGATTTTACCATGATTAAATAACGAAGAAAAACAGCAAAAAGGGCGGGTGACCCAGCTCAGCTTGTGTACCAAGAAATCCGACAAAGGCTAGGCCACTCAACCGGAAGTGCTGTTAGCTCCATTATGTGAATTTTTCTCACTAACATTGTACCGCTTCAATGCATCATGTGGCGTTCACCAATATTCGGCCGAGAGTTCAGGCACTTATAAAACCGGATGTCTCGTGTCTTGTGTCTCGAAGAGAATCAGAGAATTGATAGGGGCAAACCCAACTTTGCGAGGATGTAGATTTGCCACAACATGGGGTATGGTCCACACCCAGATATCAAGCCCATGCATGATCAACCGCGGATCCCGAGCGAGAAAGCGAATTATAACCAATGACAGATTCTCAGAACCGCTGTCTTTAGGTAGTATATCAGATGATATCAATTAGGTACAACCATTGGGTGCCAATCACTGTAAATATATCAAGGGTCAAGGGTATATAATACGTAAATTGACAACGATTGGAAATAAAACTTGAGATCATCAAATACCCCAGAAATTACTCTTGAACTCGAATGTGAAGATGTCCTCATCAATCAACGATTTCCAAACACTCCTTGATCAACAGGTCGGGAGACTACCGGTACGATCATGGCCTGCACCCGTAGGTATGCAATATCTCCTGGCAATAATTCCAGCGCGGGCATCCAGCGCGGGCATGTTATGCAGTTCAGCTAAGTGGATAACGGAAAAGGTCCATCAAGGAATCGGAGGAAAATACCGATCAACTCCTTGCGCTTCCAGGGAGCTGCCTGGGCTACTGCGGGTGGTGGTATGTGTGCTACACTGCACGGAGCCTACAAAATCTTTCGGGGTTTCCGTGGATTCAAGTACATCTGATAGTATCTCTATTCTTGGCTACTCATGGCTGAAACATATGCACCTCAACCAGTCGCCATCCAAATTATATAATTCATGATTGAACTCCTAGCGACACGACCAGTTGGGTTTATAGTTTGCAATAACATTCAAGTCACTTGCCTGCGAGATATCTATGGCGATCTTTTTAGAACATCCCTTATTACAACAGCTCAAGATAGCAGTAAATATAGGTTAAATACTATGTGCATTAACTTGGGAGAATGACAAAAAAAGGTATTGTGCTAGCTCTATGACCTAAGTTCAGCGACTTCATGCGAGATTTGTCGTCCCAAAACCCGTTACAACCCAGCCAAGCACGCTGGAGTCTTCAATTCCTTGCTGAACATGAAACATCAAGCAGAGAAGAATGATATTTTCTAGCTTGCTGCGAGCCTTGCCGAGAAAATGATGAAAACTCATGCCTTTCAGGATGGGAACAAACGAACTACTTTACTGGCTGCTGATATGTTCCTGAAATTCAATGACTGTTACCTTCAGATGTACCATTAACGAAGGGTAAAGACGACGCAGGGCTAATAAATGTCCAAGTTGCTGAGTGCAGTACCAGCCCCTGAATCAATTAAAACAAAAGATTCTCCTGCGTTGCCAATGACGACTGGGACTGGTTCTCTATGCTACCCATATTTGGAGTGGAAAGGTATATCAGCGGACCAGACTGACTCTTCCGCTAAGGCATGGCAAATTATCATCCAAGTTACTAGTGTAAGAGCGTTTGTTTTGTATGTGAAAACACATGTAGATTTTATGTGGCGACGGACCCGATCAACGTCATCACAGGTTTTGACTTGTGCCATCATCCCGTTTGGCACTTTTCAATTGATTTGCTGGTACTTCGTGTTCGGTGGCGAAATTGTTAGGGCTGACATCATGATCTAACACTAGAATATATATTCTGCTGGGTAAAGGCCAGCCGTCGGTCGGGTTTTGATAATAAATGTAAATGTGGTAATCTTTTCCAACTAATATGCAGCGATATATCGCGAGGTCTTCTACCACCTACGTCCCCAGGCTGACTCGAGCTATCGCACAAAAGGCTCATTCTGCAAACCAAGGGGACCAGAAATGTACGGCCAGCATCCCCATTGAGACAAAAGTTTCGACAGCAGCTAATAGTCCTAGTCAATGTCGGTGCGACATTCCCAGATGACTTTGAGGACTCGCCTTTGAAGTCCGAGATTCTTGAGAAGCGAAACCGGAATGAGGGGGTTGAGCCCTCTTACCATCCCGTTCGTACATCATCAGACATTTCACATAATGTGACGCCACTAAACATTAACGATCAGAATATCTACGAGATATACGAAAGTATCCAAGGAAAACCGCCCTCGCCCCCCAAGAGTGCAAAGACAGCCAAGCCCACTCAGAAGAAGCAGCCGGATCCTGCCGGAGAGGAGCGAGAGCCTGAGCTTGATGAATTGTAATGAAGAATTTCTACTGTATGACTATCCCAAGCTGTATCCAGAGTGTTTCCGTTTATCTCTCGTTCATTACTACCCTATCAAAATGAAACTTGTTGAATACCAAATTGACTACGTGGTTGAAACCGGGTATTATACCCCAATCATCATGTGTCTTCGAGTACCAGGCAAACCATATATTACGTTTAATCATCATTACCGCTCAGATTATTGAAATAGCCGGGTTTTATCATTTTTATTCGAGCCCTCAATATCGGTCATCCATACGATAGGTATTGTTTGTACGCCAGATTTCTGTTAGTTATGAGCCCGGAATTAGGCTTCGACAAGTTCCGCAGCACCGGTGCTGAAGCTGAAGTTCAATCTCTTCTTCGGCATCAACCTCTTGTACTCGAACATATCAAGGGGAAATACTTTTGCTTACTCACCTACTGAGCCAGCTATCGTGAGCCCTACCTCCGCGTAGGGCACCAGTGGACCGCGCGAAGATTCAAGGAGCATATCAATGTCAATGTGGTCGGTGGAAGGAAAAGATGGAAGGGTTGGGAAAAATCTATTTTCTTTCATACGCATATCTGTCGGATAGCCACACAGCTCCCGGCTGCTGGAAGTTCATCTACGAATGTTTGACCTGCGCAGAGTCTCCACTAATTTATTGGTCATGCACACTCGGCTTCGCTATAACAGAATTATCTAGGATTTTCTTTCAAGTTTTAGACTTATATGTTACCTCGCCTACTTTCTATTGTGATTAGCTTATTTCCTATGTTTTTATTTAGAACAACCTTGTTATAATTGTACGATAAGGGCGGCCTACGATCGTGGACTTTTTGCCTACGCGATAAAATGCTCTATTATTGTAATTAATTATCCACTTGAATGCAGATGCTCAGCTCAGTGTGCCTTGGTTGATAGTAGCCAGTTGCTATGTTATTTAGACCGGATTCTGTTACATCGGGGATAGGAATAGAACTGCAAGTTGCTTCGCAACACACTAAGCAGGGGTCCAGCGCTAACTAGTGCCAAAGTACTTTTTTTTTGTTCCTCGAGTCTGCCTTGGAAAGGAATAGCCTTGTTTTTGGCACTGAACTTGGATTGTGGTGCTTGGAAATCAAGTCAGATATTCACTAACACAGGTAGGTAGTGTTTTATAATATGCTTCATTGCGCGAAGCAGAATCAAATAATCAGACCAAAAAAAAAAAAAAAAAAAAAGGGCTACTGCAACTTCCCTGTTAAGCGCCTTCACAGTAACATCGCTGCCTACATTGCGTAGGTGGCTATGCTTCTAGCTGTGGCTTTACAGCAAGGCATACTGGAAATGGATGCCGTTCGTAATATAAAACAAGAGGCTAGTCCAACCTGAAAGTGATTCAACTGAGCCATTCTCAAGAGTACTCAGCTCTTGTCCGACAAATCGTCTCTCAATCATTAACCAACATCATATTTATCAATCTGTATATCCACTCAATGTCGTGCCCTACCAGTTGCACCCCATTGAAACGAGTTCTCAGTGACCGTGTCATCCCCCTAGATGGAAGGATACCTTGCCAGGGAAAGACCCTCAGAGGCCCATACTGCAAGGCTCCAATATCCCGCGATAGACAAGGCAAAGCGTTATGCTTACTTGAGTGCTGCATCTATTGCTCCAGACCAGGTGGCCTACCACTGAAGTATGCGATCAAAGATCTCGCAACCTTGCTCGTCCATCAGCAACACAGTGGGGAGCAGGATGCTGCCTATGCTAGATGGAGTAACATGGTGAAGGAGTATAAGAATAAGAGGGAGAATCCCCCGCGGAAACATCATCGAGAACTTGATCGAAAACTTGATCGCCCGCAAGAATATCATTCCGATGTTTTCGATGACCCCGTCGCTCCACAACCGGTCAAACATCGAAGAGACACACGTATTGTCAAGTGCAGTGAACCGGATCAAACCAGTAGTCGGAGCTATCCAGCCGCATCCAAAATCCTGCAACCTCGAACCATCAAGGCTAATGAACCCATCGAGGTTGACAAGCCCGCTAAACACACGGTGATCCATCCCACTCTGCCCAGCCCAGAACGCCCAACAGAAAGTCGCAAGTCCACGTCTGTCCAAACCGAGGCCCATGAGGTATACACACCTATCACCGTGTGGTCATGCTTCTTCGGTTTGATCCTGCAATGCGGGGTCATGATTTGCAGCTTTTTCAAGATTCAATTTGGTGCAGCTCGATTTTGCGACCACACAGGGAATGTGCAAAAAGGCTCAATGGTCTTGAAGTTTGAATTGGGTATCCGGTGGACATTAACAAATTTGATGCCACGATGGGTGATTTTCACGGGGATTTCCTTTCTGCCATTGTCTGTTTTACTTGGACCATGGCTTGGGTTATTGTGTATCTGTTGGATTGCGGTGCAATTGCAGGAAAGTCCTATAAAGTTGGAAGTTGATGCTTATTCGCTGAGATAAGAATATACATAATTAGTGAATATGTTGAGATTTGAAGTGTTGATCGCCAAAGTGTTGATCTCTTATCATTTCCGCATTCGATCCACCGGCGACCAGTTCGGTCATATGGAGGACATCTAATTGGTTGGAAAGATGTGGATAGCGTGAGGGGATGACACACAGCTAAGAAATGAAAGGTATTTATTATTTATTGTAGGAAATAATTCGGATAGAATAATATGTTGGTACTTTTATATTAATTTTATATTTATATTTATATATATAGATATTGTTAAGAGGTGGAATTGAGTATATACTTCAAATGGGAAATTCTCGACTGGACAAATAAGAGACGAGTCAATTCCAATCTCCCGAGGATAACCACTAGTTAACATGTTGGGATGACTCAACATAGTAATTCAACCATATCCTTCAGAATATCACATGGAGAATCAAATCAGGGACTTTAACTTCCTTCCCCTGTAAATCTTACTCCAATGAGCCAACCGCATTTCTTCTCCACAGGATTGTCCCGGTGAATCACTCCGGGGTCCCTCTGCCCCTCAGTCGTCCTATACCAAGGTACTGCTCTCTTTCTCTCTCTCTCTCCCTCTCTCTCCTCTCTTACCTTTTCTCCTCAACCCATCACCATGTCGCTTCCTATTCGCTCATTGTCCCGAACGTTGGTACGGTCCTACGGAACTGTCCAAGGTTCACCCAGTGCTGCTTCATTGACTAGCATCCCCATTACCCTAACCGACGCTACGGGTGCTACCGCTCCCCGGACCACCTGGACTCGAGATGAAGTCAAGCAAATTTATGAGACCCCATTGAGCCAACTCACATACGCGGCAGTAAGTGAAATTTAACGTATAACCTGATACCGACCTTTAGGTAAACTGACCCTCTAGGCTGCTGTTCACCGCCGCTTTCATGACCCCTCGGCTATCCAGATGTGCACCTTGATGAACATTAAGACCGGTGGATGCAGTGAGGATTGCTCGTACTGTGCCCAGTCATCCAAGCACAACACGGGCCTGAAGGCCACCAAGATGAGCCCCGTCGACGATGTCCTCACCAAGGCTCGCAATGCCAAGGCCAATGGTAGCACTCGGTTCTGTATGGGCGCGGCTTGGCGCGACATGCGTGGCCGTAAGACCAGTCTCAAGAATGTGAAGCAGATGATCACCGGAATCCGCGAGATGAACATGGAGGTCTGCGTGACCCTGGGGATGATCGACGAACACCAGGCCAAGGAGCTGAAGGAGGCTGGCCTGACCGCATACAACCACAACCTCGATACCTCGCGTGAATTCTACCCCACCATCATCACCACCCGCTCGTATGACGAGCGCCTGAAGACGCTATCACACGTGCGTGATGCCGGCATCAATGTCTGCTCTGGCGGTATCCTTGGTCTGGGAGAGAGTGACGCCGACCGCATTGGTCTCCTGCACACAGTTTCCAGCCTGCCCGCCCACCCCGAATCCTTCCCCGTCAATGCCCTCGTCCCCATCCCCGGTACTCCTCTCGGCGACCGCAAGATGATCCCCTTCGACCGCTTGCTTCGCACCGTCGCCACCGCCCGTATTGTCATGCCCAGTACCATTGTCCGCTTGGCTGCCGGTCGCATCGCGCTCTCGGAAGAGCAGCAGATTGCATGTTTCCAAGCAGGCGCTAACGCTGTCTTCACCGGTGAAAAGATGCTCACTACCGACTGTAATGGATGGGATGAGGACCGTGCCATGTTCGACCGCTGGGGATACTACCCCATGAAGAGCTTTGAGAAGCCTGCACTGAAGGCTGATGCCACTGCTCCTACTCCGCCTTCTGTGAACCCCGAGATTACTTCTGCGCCGGTCGCAGCGAGCGCTTAGATTTATACTTAGGATATGTTGCTTCTATATGACTGCGTCAATAGTTTGGATCGAAACGATCCTGCAAAATGCAATTGTCAATGATACGGTTCAACGAGACTTCCACCTTCACTCCTGGGTACATGACGAGGTACCCATGCAGCCATATGGCAATATAATAATGTACTAGGTCAACAGCCCCTACCCAATGACCAGGTGAAATAGCCACACACTAAAACGAGAAAATGTTCTTCCACACATCGTCAACACGACTTGACGATTTCGGGGAGCACTGTCTGCTTTTGTACCATCAACCACTAGTCGATCCTCTTCTCTTGTGATTTCCCCCCACCCCGTGCCCCGCTTGCATCGCCTGAAATTCATGACTGCACATCAAAAACTTTAGTATAGGGCCCAACAATGATAGAAACCCCGGAGCCAATCGAAACCCACTGGTGCTCCACTCTTCGCGATCAAATGCTGCAATACCGAGGCTCAAGCCGAGCGCACGCTGTCAACTCAAAGTCTTGCCCCACGTCTTTTTCACCTACTATTCGGCAGAGATCAATCTTCACATCGGATCGCAATGGTTCCCCTTTTGGTTTCAATGATGAACCCCATGATCTCCATTTCAGTGTCCTGGCGAGGTTTAGCCATTCTGCCAGCGCCAACTTTTTGCGGAGAAATTCACATGCTTGCGCCGATCCTCGCTAAATTAGCATAGTCTCTACCATCTCCTATTCACTCGGTTCATAGGTTCTGTTGGGGTAAACTGATCCGTATAGGGATGTTGACACATCACTACTCACATGGTCTTCATGACCGATGCCCTCATGGTAATGATATAAACGGAATCGCCGCCGCCATGGATACCCGCAAAATCCAACTCAAACATCCATCATGGATTCCAAACCGCTATCCAAAGATTCCATGCAATCAACATGGCGCACAGCCCCTCGCAGCGAATGGAATATCAGTCATTACCTGCTAGACGCGCTCAACGCCCACCCCATCGACCTAAACAAGGAGATACCGGTGCATAGCAAAGACGAGAAAGTGCCATACATGCCCCAGTGGTATCTCCAACGATGGGTACTCTTCTACTCAGCACTGCCCCTCCTTCTCCATGAGACCTACATGGCATTCACTGGGCGCACCGTAGGCCCAATAACAGCCTTCAACTTCTACTTTTTCGCCTTTAACGCGACGGTAATCTACCAAGTGCACATCCTCCGGCGTCTCGGTCACAAATACGGCTTCTTAGACGGAGACAAGCACGCACGGGATGGCGTCCCCGATGTCGGCGTCGCTAAAGTGGTAGCCTCCCTATACAAAACAACCGGATCCCGAATGATCCTCTCAATCATCTTCTCTTACAATAAAACTCAAAGACCCTCGGAGATGTCCTGGATATGGCTCCCTCTTGAAATCGGCCTATACGGTATCGTCCTCGATTTCTGGTTCTACTGGTACCACCGACTGATGCACGACGTGGGCTATCTATGGAAATACCACCGCACCCACCATCTCACTAAGCATCCAAACCCGCTCCTGGCTGCGTACGCAGACCACGAGCAGGAATTCTTCGATATGGTCGGCGTGCCGATGATGACGTACTTTAGTTTGAAGCTGCTTGGTTTGCCGATGGGGTTCTATGAGTGGTGGATTTGTCATGAATACGTTGCGTTTGCGGAGGTGTTTGGCCATAGTGGATTGCGCATGCATTCGGGTGTGCCGTCGACGCTGGGCTGGTTGCTGCAGATGTTTAGTGCGGATATTGTTATCGAGGACCATGATTTGCATCACCGGAAGGGTTGGCGAAAGAGTTATAACTATGGTAAGCAGACGAGACTGTGGGATCGGATTTTTGGGACTTGTATGGAGCGTATTGAGTCTGCGGAGGGGAATGTGGATTATGAGAATACGGCGAAGATGCCTTTGTTCTAGGGGGTTAGGTGATTGTTTGTCGTGTGAATGATGGGAAATTGGAATGGAATGGTGCTTGCTTCTTGATTTTGGGTATCTTATATATAGCTGAGACTTTTATGAATTATGTCACTTTATGACACGAAATATAAAAAAGGATAGTATCGAGAGGGCCATTAAACCTATCGAGCTGAATTACCCTTTGCGTGTACTTTGATCCTATTTTATTTCTGCATTCTCTTCCTTTCTCTCACATCTCCTGAAACTGCAACTTTCGAGCAATGAACCATTGTTACGCCGCCTCGCCTGAACCAGTACTCTCCGGTGGCACAAAAAGCTCCATCCGTTGATCAAAGATCTCTAGACCATTTGCCTGCAAGAGATATTTCCAACTAACACGAGTAAATAGCACGTACCCCTCGTCTCCACAGGTACGGAGAAATACCTGCCCCGTCATTTACCGATTCTCTCTGCAACTATATGAGATTTTCCGAGATGAAATCATTTCCATGCAGAGGGGAAGATCTCTTCACCGCCACCCTCAATATACATCGATGACATCGTGTTCAAGAGGGAAGGGAAGGATATCTCCGATGGCATGGCGAGCTGAGCGTGGGGCCCTGAATGTCATGGATCGTCGCGTCTGCCGTCTCTCGCCTCCGTAAAGCCACATATTGCATTCTAGTTTCAACTACAGGCAACATGCTCGAGTTACTGTCGACTCAAACATGTGTATTACAATGCCATCTTTCTCATCACGGGAATCTCAATAGAGTTTCTACATACTATATTTGCCTTCAGGGCCGTGCAGTCACGTGGCATACCAAAGACAGAGTAGGTTTAACGTAACTATAACTAAGGGATTCTCCGTCATAATATAAATTGTCTGCTTTTGGTTAAAGCTTAAGAGTCCGTAATAACCTGCTTCTAATAGGGGGACACTATATTATGGCCCTTATGCCGATAAACGACTACATACACGAGCGATAATGAAAGAAGACCTCAACACACTGGGTACTTCCCAGGACACGTCGGTGAGATGTTGTGGTTGGGTTCCCATGGAGGAGAAAATAGACGATGGAAAAGCTGGGATGGCGCTAGCCGCGCTAATTTCCACATGTTTTTCAATCTCTGTACATGGGCGACTAAGTCGGGCAAGAAGAAGCGAAAGTTTGATTAGATTACTCCGAGACTAGTTTACAGACTAGGCTTGGCAACTTTCCAACTACTCCATACAAAAGGCTAAGTACTTGCATAATATACATATTCGTGACGGCGTAGGCTAACCTAAAACAAGGCAGGCTCTAGAACAATCTAAATATAAATTGGGTCCGGTCTAATTCC